GCCCAGGTAAGGAGCCAGGAGGGCGGCGCTCTGTGCATGCGCAGGAACCCCCTTTTGCGCCCCCGCCTCAGGGTCCGCTTAGGAGAGCGTGGGAAGAGAACCCCCGAGCATGCGCAGAGAGAGAGAGAGAGAGAGAGAGAGAGAGAGAGCCGGGCACAGCAAGAGCTCTTCCTCGGCTGGGAAGGGGCAGCAGAGCCTCACCCTGGATCGGGGCCAGCAGCCCGCTTGGATTTCCGAGAAGGAGGTCCTCCTGGTCAATCGTAAACCAGATCGGGGTATAGGGTGGCAACCTGTGCTGGACGGGGTTACACTCCCCCTGAAGTCACAGGTCCGCAGTTTGGGAGTCCTCTTGGATTCATCACTTACGCTTGAGGCTCAGGCGTCGGCGGTGTCCGGGAGGGCTTTTGCACAATTGAGACTCGTGCGCCAACTGCGACCGTACCTCACGAAGGCTGATCTGGCCGGGGTGGTCCATGCCTTGGTCACCACTAGATTGGATTACTGTAATGCGCTCTACGTGGGGCTGCCCTTGAAAACGGTTCGGAAATTCCAACTGGTTCAACGGGCGGCGGCCAGGATGTTAACTGGCGCTCCCTACAGAGAGAGGTCAACCAGTTTTAAGGAGATATGATAGCCATGTATAAATATGTGAGAGGAAGCCACAGGGAGGAGGGAGCAAGCTTGTTTTCTGCTTCCCTGGAGACTAGGACGCGGAACAATGGCTTCAAACTACAAGAGAGGAGATTCCATCTGAACATGAGGAAGAACTTCCTGACTGTGAGATCCGTTCAGCAGTGGAACTCTCTGCCCCGGAGTGTGGTGGAGGCTCCTTCTTTGGAAGCTTTTAAACAGAGGCTGGATGGCCATCTGTCAGGGGTGATTTGAATGCAATATTCCTGCTTCTTGGCAGAATGGGGTTTCACTGGATGGCCCAGGAGGTCTCTTCCAACTCTTTGATTCTAGGATTCTAAGGTGCAGGTGCTCACCTACAAAGCCCTAAACGGTTTGGGACCTGCCTACGACCACATCTCCGTGTATGAACCCACACGCTCCCTTTGTTCATCCGGAGAGGCCCTGCTTACGATCCCACCTGCGTCACAGGCGTGTTTGGTGGGGACGAGGGACAGGGCCTTCTCTGTGGTTGCCCCCCGACTCTGGAACACCCTCCCCAAAGACATTAGACTAGCACCCACGTTGGCAGTCTTTAGGAAGAATCTGAAGACCTGGCTATTCCGATGTGCCTTTCCGGAATAGGATAACCTCCAGCACTATGTCCCAGAAGCACTTTATTAGAGTTTAAGACTCTCTGCACATTGCACTTGCCCAGAATCCCAACATATCACCTCTCACACCCAGCACTTTTTAACCTCTACCCATCACTGGCCCGGCCCTGGTTTTTATTGCGTAATTGATGTATTGTTTTTTATTGCTTATGTTTTTAATGTGCTTTACATTGTACTGTTATTGTTTTGCTGTTGTTGTGTTGAGGCCTTGGCCTTTGTAAGCCGCATCGAGTCCTGCGGGAGATGCTTTTGTTGTTCATTCGTTCAGTCGCCTCCGACTCTTCGTGACCTCATGGACCAGCCCACGCCAGAGCTCCCTGTCGGCCGTCACCACCCCCAGCTCCTTCAAGGTCAGTCCAGTCACTTCAAGGATGCCATCCATCCATCTTGCCCTTGGTCGGCCCCTCTTCCTTTTGCCTTCCACTTTCCCCAGCATAATTGTCTTCTCTAGGCTTTGCTGTCTCCTCATGATGTGGCCAAAGTACTTCAACTTTGTCTCTAGTATCCTTTCCCTCCAGTGAGCAGTCGGGCTTTATTTCCTGGAGGATGGACTGGTTGGATCTTCTCGCAGTCCAAGGCACTCTCAGAACTTTCCTCCAGCACCACAGCTCAACAGCATCGATCTTCCTTCGCTCAGCCTTCCCTAAGGTCCAGCTCTCACATCCGTAGGTGACTACAGGGAATACCATGGCTTTGACTAGGCATTGGATCTTGGTTGCCAGTCTGATGTCTCTACTCTTGACTATTTTATCGAGATTGGACATTGCTCTCCTCCCAAGAAGTAAGCGTCTTCTGATTTCCTGGCTACAGTCTGCATCTGCAGTCATCTTTGCACCTAGAAATACAAAGTCTGTCACGGCCTCCATGGTTTCTCCCTCTATTTTCCAGTTGTCAATCATTCTTGTTGCCATAATCTTGGTTTTTTTGATGTTTAGCTGCAACCCGGCTTTTGCGCTTTCTTCTTCACCTTGATTAGAAGGCTCCTCAGCTCCTCCTTGCTTTCGGCCATCAGAGTGGTGTCATCTGCATATCTGAGGTTGTTAATGTTTCTTCCAGCAATTTTCACCCCAGCTTTGCATTCATCAAGCCCCGCACATCCTTGCATGATGTGTTCTGCATACAAGTTAAAAAGGTTGGGTGAGAGGATGCAGCCTTGCCGTACGCCTTTCCCAATCCTGAACCCGTCTCCTGTTCCGTGGTCAGTTCTGACTGTTGCTCCTTGGTCCTTGTGCAGATTCCTCAGGAGAGAGGGAAGGGGGCTTGGGATGCCCATCCCACCAAGAACTTGCCACAATTTATTATGATCCACACAGTCAAAGGCTTTAGAATAAAACAGAAATAGATGTTTTTCTGAAACTCCCTGCCTTTCTCCATTATCAGCGGAAATTGGCAATTTGGTCTCTCGTTCCTCTGCCTTTTCTAAACCCAGCTTGTACATCTGGCAACTCTCGCTCCATGTATTGCTGGAGTCTTCCTTGCAGGGTCTTGAGCATTACCTTACTGGCATGAGAAATAAGGGCCACTGTACGGAAGTTTGAGCAGTCTTTCGCATTTCCCTTTTTTGGTATGGGGATATAAGTTGATTTTTTCCAGTCTGATGGCCATTCTTGTGTTTTCCATATTTGCTGGCATATGGCATGCATCACCTTGACAGCATCATCTTTTAAGAGTTTAAACAGTTCAGCTGGGATCCCGTCATCTCCTGCTGCCTTGTTGTTAGCAATGCTTCTTAAGGCCCATTCAACCTCACTCCTCAGGATGTCTGGTTCTAATTCATTCACCACACCGTCAAAACTATCCTCGATATTATTATCCTTCCTATACAGAGATGCTAGCGGGGTACAAATAAAGTTTAATAATAATAATAATTAATAATAAAAAGCGAAGGCAAAGGGAGGGGGGCGGCCACTTTCATGGCACTGGCTCCCTGCCAGAGCACCTTGGGAGGTGTAGTTCGCGGGGGGGGGGGGGCAGACCCTCCTGCACTGCCCACTCCCAGGCTCCCTCCCACGCCGATTATTATTTGGAGGTTTATCTTATATAAATAAAAATGTCATGTTCGTTTGTGGGATCAACATAACTCAAAAACCACTGGACGAATTGCCACTAGAAGGGTTTGGTGGGCATTGGCCTTGAGTTTGGGAGTTGTAGTTCACCTGCATCCAGAGAGCACTGAGGACTCAAACAATGATGGATCTGGACCAAACTTGGCACAAATACTCTATATGTCCAAATATGAACATGGAGTGAGGAAGAAGGGGAAAGGAGGGGAGGAGACAGGAATGGAAGGGAAACAGAGGGAGAAAAAAGAGAAAGGAAGAAAGGAAGAAGAACAGAAGATTGCAGGAAGGGAAGGAGGGAAAAAGGGAAGAAAAGAAGAAAAAGGGTGGAGAAAGAAAGGAAACTAGGAAGATGGAGAGAGGAAGGAAGGAAGGAAGGAAGAGAAGGAGGAAGGAAGACGGAAGGAGAAAAAAGGTAGGAAAAGAAGAGGGAGGGAAAAAAAGGAAAAATGGAGGAAGGAAGGGAAGGGAGGATAAAGAGGAATGGAGGGAGGAGAAAGAAAGAGATAGGAAAAAGAAGGAGGGAGAAAGTAAGAAAGGGAAAAGAAAGAAAGAAAGAAAGAAAGAAAGAAAGAAAGAAAGAAAGAAAGAAGGAAAGAAAGAAAGAAAGAAAGAAAAGAGGGAGGAATTAAAAAAGCGTGGTTATAGTGAATTGAACCCCAGTCCAGTATTTCTGGGCCTTTTTGCAAGACAGATGGTGAAATACCCCAACATTTTCCTCATATTTCCAACACCTACATAGGCAGAGGCCTGGAAGTGAAAGTGGTGTTAATGCGATAGAGTAGATCGCTCATGCGATAGAGTAGATGCGCCTTGAGTCTTCCTAGTTGTTCCCAGCATCAAACTCAAGCCAATATGAAAAGGGTCTGACTAGCTGAACTCCTGGGCAGAGAATCCGTGGATCCAGAGGGCCAGCTGTAATATTTTGACATGTTGGTCCGTGCTCTTTAGTTTTTACCTGGTTTGGGTCCCTGGATGTTACTGAATGACAACTCCCATTGCTTTCCATTCCTTTGTGAGTCGGACACTTGTGCTTAGAGTAATCCCACCCCACCCTTGTGTTGCTTGCAAGCTTGCAGACACTTCCCTCTTTTGCAGACTGTGAGTGCATCCTCACCTCCTATGCCCCAGGCCCACGTGAGGCAAGAAAATGAGACACTGAATGAGGAGAATCTGCAGCCAAATGAACAACCCCAAGAGGATGAGTTTGACATACAAAAAGGTAGGTGGAATTCCACTGAAGGAATGAGAGTAAAGGAAACCTTTCTCCTTCCAGATTCAAAGGACAAAGCTGGGGTGGTTGGGTTGTGCAGCGTTCCAGAACTCTCTGCCGCAAGTATGGTGGAAGCTCCTTCCTTGGAGGCTTTTAAACAGATGCTGGGTGGCCATCTGTCTTGGGTGCTTTGATGGTGCTTTTCCTGCATGGCAGAAGGGGGTTGGAATAGATGGCCCATGTGATGTCTTCCAACTCTGTTATTCTTTGATTCTTTTCTAGAGAGTCCTTGTTTTTAATGATGTGTCCGAAGTATGACAGCCTCCCTTTGGTTGCCTTGGTCTTTAGGGCAGCATTTCTCAACCTTGGGGTCGGGACCCCTGGGGGGGGGCATGAGGGGATGTGAGAAGGGTCACCAAAGACCACCAGAAAACACAGTATTTCCTGTTGGTTGTGGGAGTTCTGTGTGGGAAGTTTGGCCCAATTCTGTCGTCGGTGGGGTTCAGAATGCTCTTTGATTGTAGGTGAACTATAAATCCCAGCAACTACAACTCTCAAATGTCAAGGTCTATTTTTCCCAAACTCCACCAGTATTCACATTTGGGCATATTAAGTATCCGTGCCGAGTTTTGTTCAGATCCATCTCTGGATATAGATGAACTACAACTCCAAAACTCAAGCCAATGCCCACCAAACCCTTCCAGTATTTTCTGTTGGTCATGGGAGTTCTGTGGGAAAAGTTTGGTTCAGTTCCATTGTTGGTGGAGTTCAGAATGCTCTTTGATTGTAGGTGAACTAGAAATCCCAGCAATGACAACTCCCAAATGACAAAATCAACTCTCTCGCCCCAACCCCACCAGTATTCAAATGTGGGCGTCTTGGGTATTTGTGCCGAATTTGTTCCAGTGAATGCAAATACATCCTGCAGATCAGATATTTACATTACAATTCATAAGAGTAGCAAAATGACAGTTATGAAGTAGCAACGGAAATAATGTTATGGTTGTGGGTCAGCACAGCATGAGGAACTGTATTAAGGGGTCACGGCATTAGGAAGGTTGAGAAACACTGGTCTAAGGAGAGTTCAGGCTCAAATTGCAATGGAACCAACGTATTGGTCTTTATTGATCTTTTATTTACTTATCAGTGATAGAGTTTGTCCACCTGTAGTGCAGTCTTCCCCTTTTCCTGCTGCCTTCTTCCTACTCGAGCATTATTGCCTTTTCTAGGGAGTCCCAGACAAGACAACCTCATTTTGCTCATGTTGACTTCTAGGAAAGGTTTGGGCTCAGTTTGCTCCAGGATCCATTTATTGGTCTTCTTTCACCAACTTTGGACATCAACAAGATGCTCCTCAAGCACCACATTTCCAAGGAGTTGGTTTTCTTCTCTCCCACTTTCTTCATCATCAATCATACAAATGGGAAAATGCAGTATCATGAGTTGAGTTGGAAGAGACCTCCTGGACCATCCAGTCCAACCCCATTCTGCCAAGAAGCAGGACAATCACATTCAAAGTACCCCTGACAGATGGCCATCCAGCCTCTGTTTAAAAGCCTCCAAAGAAGGAACCTCCACCACAATCCGGGGCAGAGAGTTCCACTGCTGAATAACTCTCACAGTTAGGAAGTTCTTCCTTATATTCAGGTGAAATCTTCTTTCTTTCCTGTACTTTGAAGCCATAGCTCCATTGCATCCTAGCCTCCAGGGCAGCAGAAAGCTTGCTCCTTCCTCCCTATGACATATTCCCTCACATATTTATCCTCTCAGTCTTCTCTTCTGGTTTTACATTCCATTTGGCCTCTTTTTCCTGATTCAGCAAGATGGGAAGAGAGGGCAGCTCTTCAGTCCATCCTGCAACCGTTTCCTTTGCATTCCCTTGGTCACCAAGAGAACTTTGTTGTCTTCTTTTCTCAGATTTCACCATCCAGGTCCGTGTCACTGGGCGGACTGGTGACTGTGAGAAGGACTTCCTAAAGGAGGTCGCTGAGCACCTTTGGAAGCATGAGATCCACCTCAAGGTGGAGGATTACCGAGAGGACTCTGGTCACTTCCTGCTGGTCTTCTGCCCAGTGGCTTCCCGGGTGGGCACCGACATGCAGAATGCTCTGGAAGACCTCCAAGGTTAGTACAGGTGTGCTACGGCTAGCCAAGCCTCTCCTTTTGGCAAAGTCCTTTCGCATCAAGACATCTCCTTGTTGGGGTGAATAGCTGGGTGCCTTTGAGCTGCAGCCTTGGCATCAGGAGGGCAAGGAAAGAGAGAATGAGAAACAGATTTTTGGGTATTCAGTTGCAGCAAGCAATGGGATAAGGCGGGATCTGGGAAAGAATGGGATTCTGCTCCAGCCATTTATTCTGTTGCAGAGAGTAAACAATAGAAACATGACACTTAGGCAGAAAAAAAATGAAATGCACAGATATATCCTGGCTTGGAAGCAGCCCATTGGATCTAGGACTCTTAAGAGACCACGAGCTGAACATATGTCAATAATACAATGTGGTAGCTTAAAAGCCAATGAGATTCTCACCAGCATCAATAAGAGTCTCAATCAGAGCTTTCCAAACTGTGCATCAAATCTGGGAAATGTCAACCTAGCAGTTCAAAAACATTCAAATGTGAGTAGATCAATAGGTACCGCTTTGGCAGGAAGGCAATGGCGCTCCATGCAGTCATGCTGGCCACATGATCTTGGAGGTGTCTATGGACAATGCCGGCTCTTTGGTTTAGAAATGGAGATGATCACTATCTTGTGCTCATCTAGTGGAGTTGGACACCACTAGACTTAATGTCAGGGGAAACCTTTACCTTTACTTAATATACATTTTCTATGTTAGATGTGTGATATATATTTTATAATACATATGTAATGAATCCCTTACCTTAGCAGGCTAGCTTAGGCCTAGGGAAGTGGGCCTGGTGAAGCCATGACATCCATTTTAGGAAAGGGAGACAGGGAGACGCCATCTTAGCTTAGGTTTGCCTTTTAAACTGGGGTTTGAGGTCCCTGTTTGCCAGTTTGGGAGTTTGGATGTTAGTGAGAGCAGTTTGGGTTTTGAAGAAGAAGTTTGGATCAGTCTTTTGGATAGTATTCAGAATAGCTATAGAAAATATAGCTAGAATACTGTGTGGAACAGCAACCCGTTAGTGGTCTGTTCATTTCCGAAGGAAGGCTAGTTCAGGGTTTTGGCTAGATTCCTAAGAGGGACTTTTGGGAGTTACTTTCAGAGATTCGTTTCCTGAAGTAATTTTCTGTGTTGTAACTTTTAAGACTTGTAACCCGGAACTTTTTAAGATCTTTACTCAAACGCAACAACAAGCTTTTTTGTACCAGTATTTTACTGAAACCATTAAACATTTGTACCTGAATTATTCAAGCCTGTTCAATAAACGTTCTTGTTATTTTTATCAACCTATACCAGCCTCAGTGTGAATACCTTTGTGGTCAAAGCATTATTCAAGTCAGCTTTTTAACAGCCTTTAAGAAAACTATAGTGACACAGAGTGTGTTACTGAACAACCTCTCAATAATATCTCAGCCTGTTTATTGTTAATATGGTGGCAGCAGAAGTCTTTTGAAGAATCAATCTAAGTCTCTCAGTTCCAGTGGTTCCCAGATTCTAACTTCTAAATATTCAGTTGGTTCAACAACCATACTCCCTGTATATTTTGGTGAGCTAGTCTGTAGTGGAGGTGTCATTGTTATAATTTGAAGGAGCAGCATTGGGATTATTTTATATATATTTCCCCATCTGATTAATCAAAATTTTTATAATCTTCTCTGCTACCCTCCTGCTATCATTATAATTTGGGTGAGCAGTGGTGTGATTGTTATAACATATATGCTTGAAACTCTTATAAGGGTTTGGTTCAACCTCTGGTTTGTTAGTAACATTGAGTGACAGTGTCACAAAAGGATGCATGTCTAAAAAGCATGACAGAAGGGGTTGGACTGGGTGGCCTTGGGGGTTCCCTTCCAACTCTAGGATTCTATTAACAGGAGGCAGGGCAAAAAGCAGTTCATTACATTCATGGAATACTAGAGTTGGAAGGGAACCCCAAAGGTCATCCAGTCCAACCCCTTCTGCCTCCAGAACCCCTTCTGAGCAGGTTAGAAGAGATCACATTGGCCTGCCTCATCCGCTGGTCCCAGTATGTTATAAAAGCTTAGATAAGTGTAGTCACCAGAGTGGAAATTGTAAGGAAAGTGGAGGCTGGTGCCGAGACCTGTTTCCCTCCAGCCCCTCCTTGGCTTCCTCTGCATTTCTCTTTCCAGGTGAGCCCAAGGCCGTCTTGGTGATGCTGCATCACAGACCGAAAGAATACGACCACTTTCTGGACACCAAGCTGCAGGCACAACATCCGGCCGTGGTGCACACAGTTCACGCTCGGTATACACTCGAAGATGGCCTCTACAACTGCCAGGTGAACGAGGAGGCCATGGCCGCTGTGGCCGAAGTCCTCAAGGTCCATTTCAAAGAGGAACAAGAGAAGCCTCCCACCCCTGACCACCTCAAAGAGGAACAAGAGAAGCCTCCCACCCCTGACCACCTCAAAGAGGAACAAGAGAAGCCTCCCACCCCTGACCCCGGGGATCAGATGTGCCCCAATAGCGCCCAGGAGCCTCATGACTGAGAGAAAGGCAGAAGGAAAGGATAAGGATGGTGATATTCATATTAACATTGTTACTGCACTACGCTCTCTCCATGGTTTCCGTGTCTTCAAACAGCTATATCTATTTAAGTGTCTATATCTCGCTTTCTAGCTATGCAATAAAAAGTGGAAATAGGTCTGTGTGTATCTTCCAGAAATGGTCCCACATCCAGAGAGCTCTGCGAATCCCACCAACGATGGACCTGGAGCAACCTTGGCACACAGGCTCATTCTGACCAACTCAAAATACAGTTTGGGTTGGGGGGGGATTGGCTGAGAGTGATGGGAGTTGTAGTCCACCTACATCCAGAGTGTTAAGTGAGTCCCACTGATAATGGATCTGGGCCAAACTTGGCCCATAGGCCCATCATGACCAACTTAAAATACAGGTTGGGTTGGGGGGGGAGGATTGGCTGAGAGTGATGGGAGTTGTAGTCCACCCATGTCCAGAGAGTCAAGTGAGTCCCACTGATGGTGGACCTGGACCAACCTTGGCACACCAGCCCATCCTGACCAACTTAAAATACAGTTTGGGTTGGGGGGAATTGCCTGAGAGTGATGGGAGTTGTAGTCCACCCACATCCAGAGAGTCAAGTGAGTCCCACCAATAATGGATCTGGACCAAACTTGGCACACAGACCCATCATGACCAACTTAAAATACGGGTTGGGTTGGGGAGAATTGACTGAGGGTGATGGGAGTTGTAGTCCACCCACATCCAGAGAGTCAAGTGAGTCCCACCAATAATGGATCTGAACCAAACTTGGCACACAGACCCATCATGACCAACTTAAAATACAGGTTGGGTTGGGGGGAATTGACAGGGTGATGGGTGTTGTAGTCCACCCACATCCAGAGATTTGAGTTAATCCCACTGATGGTGGATCTGGTCTAATCTGGTACACATACCCTTTATGATCAATTTAAAATAATGGCAGGTTTGGGGAGTGGGGGTTATTGGTAGAGGATGGTGAAAATTGTTGTCTACTCACTCCCAGAGAGCCTCATCATGCCACTGGCAATGGGTACACATACCCATTGCTAGCAATTTAAAATATTGGTATGGTTTCATGGCATTGACAGGATGATGTGAATTGTAGTCCATTCGCATCCAGAGAGTTGTGTCAATCCTAACAATGATAGCCCTGAACAAAGCCTAGTAAACAACATACCCTTCACGGTTTCACTTTATTTGTTGTTGAGCTAAAGGGGGCACAGTTAAAGATGATGGGAGTTCAAATCCAAACGAATGGTGATGATGATAGTTAAAACTGTATAGGATATAAAAATATAGTTCTTCAATAAATACAATAAAGTAGTAATTGTCAACTTCATCCATTAGAGACACAATGATGTTACCCCTCCTTGAAGATTACAGCAGGGATCCCATCAGGTCCACTGGCTTTGTTTTAAAACTAAATTAAACAAACAAGATGATGTATTGTTGAAGGCTTTCATGGCCGGAATCACTGGGTTGTTGTAGGCTTTTCCGGGCTATATGGCCATGTTCTGGAGGCAATTTTTCTCCTGACGTTTCGCCTGCATCTATGGCAAGCATCCTCAGAGGTAGTGAGGTCTGTTGGAAGTAAGAAAAATGGGTTTATATATCTGTGGAATGACCAGGGTGAGACAAAGGACTTTTGTCTGCTGGGGCTAGGTGTGAATGTTTCAGCTGATCACCTTGATTAGCATTCAATGGCTTGAAAGTGCCTGGGGGGAATCTTTTGTTGAGAGTGAATTGATGTGCCTGATTGTTTACTCTCTGTTGTTGTGCTGTTGTAATTTTTGAGTTTTTTTAATACTGGTAGCCAGATTTTGTTCATTTTCATGGTTTCCTCCTTTCTGTTGAGATTGTCCACATGCTTGTGGATTTCCATGGCTTCTCTGTGTAGTCTGACATGATGGGTGTGAGAGTGGTCCAGCACTTCTGTGTTCTCAAATAATATGCTGTGTCCAGGTTGGTTCATCAGGTGGTCTGCTATGGCTGATTTCTCTGATTGGAGTAGTTTGCAGTGCTTTTCATGTTCCTTGATGGGTGTCTGGGCAATGCTGCTGCGTTTGGGGGTCCCTATGTAGACTTGTCCACAGCTGCATGGTATCTTGTAGACTCCTGCAGAGGTGAGAGGATCCCTCTTGTCCTTTGCTCAGATATTCCACAGATATATAAACCCATTTTTCCTACTTCCAACAGACCTCACTACCTCTGAGGATGCTTGCCATAGATGCAGGCGAAATGTCAGGAGAAAAATTGCCTCCAGAACATGGCCATATAGCCTGGAAAAACCTACAACAACCCAAACAAGATGATGATGATGATTATTATTATTTGTACTCTACTTTATCTCTCCCCAAGGAGACTCCAAGCAGTATAACATAAAAGCATCAGCATACAATTTAAACTATATGGTTGTGGTTGTTCATTCGTTCAGTCGTTTCCGACTCTTCGTGACCTCATGGACCAGCCCACGCCAGAGCTCCCTGTCGGCCAAGAAAACTAAACGGACCAGTACAAACTATATGGTATTGTTCCATTATCCAGAATGGAGGCTACAAGGGGGCCCTAGAAAGAGAAGGATAGTCTATTTTACAGGGGGGAGCTGAAGGAGGAAAACCATTTCACAGAATCCTAGAGTTGGATGAGACCTCATGAGCCATCCAATCCAACCCCATTCTGCCAAGAAGCAGGAAAATCCCATTCAAAGCACTGTTTTTGCCTTGATTTTACTGGTTATTGCCCCTCCCCAGTTCCCATATTATAAATGAGGGTTGTTTCCACAATGGGAACTTGGGGGGGGGGGTGTAACTGTTGCCGTTCAACCAGATGAAGATGAGGGGATTGGGGTTTCAGGACCTGATGGTTCTGTAGATGAGGAAAGGGTGGGGGTTTCAGAGCAAGGGGCTGTTTCTGAGTGTGAAAGTGAAATTGTTTTGGAATCCAGCAGTCAGGGAGAGGAGGGTAACATTTATTTATTTATTATTTATTTCGAGGACTTCTACCCCGCCCTTCTCAACCCCCGAGGGGGGGACTCAGGGCGGCTTACAAAAAGGCACAATTTGATGCCTACACAAAATACACATGTGTACAAAACAGCAGTTAAAACAATTATCACAGTTAAAAACAATCGGTACATAACACAATCAATAAAACTAATCTCATGCTCAGCATTCGTCTTTCAGAGTTCCATAATTCCATTCCACTTGGTCAATTCCTGTCCATCGTCAAAGTCTTTTCTTCATCTGCCAGATTGTCCGAATGCCTGGTCCCACATCCATGTTTTCAATTTTTTCCTAAAGGAAAGGAAGGATGTCGCTGTTCTAATATCCTCGGGGAGTGAATTCCACAGAGTGAGGGGCCACTACCGAGAAGGCCCTGCTCCTTGTCCCCGCCAATCTCACTTGTTATAGAGGCGGGGTCGAGAGCAAGGCCTCCCCAGAAGATCTTAGACTCCTAGGTGGGACGTAGAGGGAGATCCGTTCGGACAGATACACTGGGCCGGAACCATATAGGGTTTTGTAGGTCAAAACCAGCACTTTGAATTGTGCTCGGAACTGGATCGGCAGCCAGTGGAGTTGAAATAACAGGGGGGAGGTATGCTCCCTGTATGACGCTCCTGTAAGTACTCTAGCTGCCTCCCGCTGGACTAGTTGGAGTTTCCAAACAGTCTTCAAAGGCAACCCCATGTAGAGTGCGTTGCAGTAATCTAATCGGGATGTAACAAGAGCGTGGACCACCATGGCCAGATCCGACTTCCCAAGGTACGGGCGCAGCTGGCGCACAAGTTTTAGCTCATGCGAGGGAGCAGCTGGCTTAGGCAGAGATACCAGGCTGCTTCTGAATGGGCAAAGATTCAGGTGCAGGAAGTCAGAAAGAATACGGGAGAAAGAGGCAGAAGCAAGCCCCTCGAGGTCTAAGAAATGTGTTCATGTTTTGCAGTCCTTAAATTAGGGAGAGCTCTGTTGGGATTTCAGATCAAGTGTAGAACTCCTGTGTCGTTCTTAGCTCAGGACATAGAAGGAGGAGGAGGAGGAGGAGGAGGAGGAGGAGGAGGAGGAGGAAGAAGAAGAAGAGGAGGAGGAGCAGGAGCAGGAAATTTATTTTTCTACCCTGCCTCCATCTCCCCGAAGGGACTCGGGGCAGCTTACATGGGACCCAAGTCCAAGACGGAATACAATTAAAAACAAAGCAATAACAATTAAGACAGCATATTTATTATTTATTTCTGTTGCTTTTACCCCGCCCTTCTCACCCCAAAGGGGACTCAGGGCGGCTTACAAAAGCAAGGCACAATTCGATGCCTGCATCACATAACAGGAATAAAACAAAATAACATCAATTAACAACAATTCTTGCATTACAACCATAAAACCAATACAAACCAGTTTCTCCTCATTGACGGTCAGCGTTCGCTATCTCATAGTTCAAATTCCAATTCCACAATTGTCAGTCCTGTCAGTCCTATTCGTCTGGTTGTCCTTATCTAGTTGTCAGATTGCCCGAAGACCTGGTCCCACAACCACGTCTTTACTTTCCTCCTGAAGGAGAGGAGGGATGTTGATGCCCTAATTTCCCCCGGGAGTGAGTTCCACAGGTGAGGGGCCACCACTGAGAAGGCCCTGGGGTTGAGAGCAGGGCCTCCCCAGATGATCTCAAATTCCGGGGTGGGACGTAGAGGGAGATACGTTCGGACAGATACACTGGACCGGAACCGTACAGGGTTTTGTAGGTCAAAACCAGCACCTTGAATTGTGCTCGGAACTGAACCGGCAGACAGTGGAGCTGACACAACAGGGGGGGTGTTGTGCTCCCTGTATGTCGTTCCGGGGAGCAATCTGGCTGCCGCTCGCTGGACCAGTTGAAGTTTCCAAACAGTCTTCAAGGGCAACCCCACGTAGAGTGCGTTGCAGTAGTCTATTTGGGATGTAACAAGAGCGTGGACCACTGTGGCCAGATCAGACTTCCCAAGGTACGGGCGCAACTGGTGCACAAGTTTTAGTTGTGCAAAAGCTCTCCCGGCCACCGCTGAAACCGAGTAAACAGAATAAAACAGAATAAAACAACATAACAATAATAACTAGCAACAACAATAACAGCAGACTAATTTTGGAGTGGGGGAGGGGGGGGGAAGAAAGCCACTACGTGAACTGGTTAAAGGATAAGGTGGTTTAGTAAGGTGGATAACAATGTATAATGGCATAGGAAATATAATGGAAACAGAGCAAATTAACAGGATCAGAAACAATTCAGTTAATATAATATAGGACATCAGATTAAATGGATGTTGTTGTTGTTCATTCGTTCAGTCGTCTCCGACTCTTCGTGACCTCATGGACCAGCCCACGCCAGAGCTCCCTGTCGGCCGTCACCACCCCCAGCTCCTTCAAGGTCAGTCCAGTCACTTCAAGGATGCCAGCCATCCATCTTGCCCTTGGTCGGCCCCTCTTCCTTTTGCCTTCTACTTTCCCCAGCATCATTGTCTTCTCTAGGCTTTCCTGTCTCCTCTGATGTGGCCAAAGTACTTCAACTTTGTCTCTAGTATCCTTCCCTCCAGTGAGCAGTCGGGCTTTATTTCCTGGAGGATGGACTGGTTGGATCTTCTCGCAGTCCAAGGCACTCTCAGAACTTTCCTCCAACACCACAGCTCAAAAGCATCGATCTTCCTTCGCTCAGCCTTCCCTAAGGTCCAGCTCTCACATCCGTAGGTTACTACAGGGAATACCATGGCTTTGACTAGGCGGATCTTTGTTGGCAGTCTGATGTCTCTACTCTTTACTATTTTATCGAGACTGGACATTGCTCTCCTCCCAAGAAGTAAGCGTCTTCTGATTTCCTGGCCACAGTCTGCATCTGCAGTGATCTTTGCACCTAGAAATACAAAGTCTGTCACGGCCTCCACGGTTTCTCCCTCTATTTTCCAGTTGTCAATCATTCTTGTTGCCATAATCTTGGTTGTTTTACCCCTCCTTAAAGATTTCAGCAGGGATCCCTTCAGGTCCACTGGCTTTGTTTTAAAATTAAAATTAAACAAACAAGATGATGATGATGATGATTATTATTATTTGTACCCCACTTCATGACCTGATGATTCAGGTCATGATACAGGCCGTTTGTCATAGGAGTCGTCAATCAAAAGCACGACGAAACATCCACATCTTTCATTCCTTACGGAATGTGGCTAGGGAGGGTGCCAGCCTAATCTCCCTGGGGAGGGAGTTCCAGAGACGGGGGGCCACCACCGAGAATGCCCTCTCTCTCGTCCCCACCAACCGCGCCTGAGACGGGGGTGGGAGGGAGAGAAGAGCATTCCCAGAAGACCTTAAGGACCTTGTGGGCTCGTAAGGGAGGAGCCAGTCGCACAGATAGGCAGGTCCTGAAACATTCATGCTCATGTTTTGCTCCTTGTTCTATGGAGATACCGTTGGATTCATGCTCATGTTTCGTTCCTTGTTTTTTGGATTGTTTTGCGGATTCATGTTCATGTTTTAATCCTTGCTTCCTGGATTTACCTCATGTTGGATTCTGGGAATTGCTGTTCTCTGAAACAGCTTTGAGCTTTTGTGACTTGCTTCCTTTACTGACTCTTTTACCCTTCCATTTGCTTAAGGTGTTTCTCCATTTTTATATGTGCCTTTATCAATAAACTGTTTATTATCACATGTGGTTTCCTGATGAGTGTTGTGAGCAAGGTGAACTCCTGCTGAGGTGCAACAATAACAGGAAAATGGGGTATTGTTCATACTCCTTCAACCCAGCCTCCACCCCATAAAATGGACAATCCTTCTGGGTTGTTGTAGGTTTTTTCGGGCTATATGGCCATGGTCTAGAGGCATTCTCTCCTGATGTTTCACCTGCATCTATGGCAAGCATCCTCAGAGGTAGTGAGATCTACCTCAGCCTTCTCTTCTTCAGGCTAAACATGCCCAGCTCCTTAAGCTGCTCCTCATGGAGAACAAGCCCTATGAGGAGCGGCTTAAGGAGCTGGGCATGTTTAGCCTGAAGAAGAGAAGGCTGAGAGGAGACATGATGAAGGCCATGTATAAATATGTGAGGGGAGGAAGCCACAGGGAGGAGGGAGCAAGCTTGTTTTCTGCTTCCCTGGAGACTAGGACGAGGAACAATGGCTTCAAACTACAAGAAAGGAGATTCCATCTGAACATTAGGAAGAACTTCCTGACTGTGAGAGCCGTTCAGCAGTGGAACTCTCTGCCCCGGAGTGCGGTGGAGGCTCCTTCTTTGGAAGCTTTGAAACAGAGGCTGGATGGCCATCTGTCAGGGGTGATTTGAATGCAATATTCCTGCTTCTTGGCAGAATGGGGTTGGACTGGATGGCCCATGAGGTCTCTTCCAACTCTTTGATTCTATGATTCTATCTGTAAATGTATATTATTTTTATATGTATGTCTGTTTAAACAGGAGGCAAGGTGACATTAGAGGTAGTGAGGTCTGTTGGAACTAGGAAAAAGGGTTTTTATATCTGTGGAATGACCAGGGTGAGACAAAGGACTCTTGTCTGCTGGAGTTAGGTGTGAATGTTTCAACTGACCACCTTGATTAGCATATAATGGCCTGACAGTGCCTAGAGCAAACTTTTGTTGAGAGGTGATTAGATGTCCTTGTTTGTTTCCTCTCTGTTGTTGTGCTGTTGTAATTTTAGAGTTTTTTTAATACTCTTAACAGCATCCACCCAAAAATCCAATTCACAATGGAAAAAGAAAATGAAGGAAGACTGCCTTTTCTAGATGTCCTAGTCATCCGCAAACCAGATCAACAATTGGGTCACACTGTCTACAGAAAACCCACACACACAGATAGATATCTACATAAAAACTCCAACCATCACCCAAGTCAAAAAAGAAGCACCATTAAAGCCTTGGCAGACCGTGCAAAAAGAATCTGCGAACCCCACCTCCTCCAAGATGAACTGAACCACCTCAACAGGGCTCTCCAGGCCAATGGATACTCCACCTCAGACATCAGAAGAGCTGCAAGACCACGAAAGGAGCCACGAGAGTCAAGACAAAGACCCACCCAGAGGAAAAGGGTTCTTGCCAGACATCAAGGGAAACACTGACTGCAGAGGGAAGCTGATGAGGAAACACAACAGACAAACTATCTCCAGACCCACCAAGAAAATCCAACAAATGCTCCATTCAGCAAAGGACAAGAGGGATCCTCTCACCTCTGCAGGAGTCTACCGTATACCATGCAGCTGTGGACAAGAAGTCTCCAGAGGGACCACCAAACGCAGCAGCATTGCCCAGACACGAATCAAGGAACATGAAAGGCACTGCAGACTACTTCAACCAGAGAAGTCAGCCATAGCAGAGCACCTGATGAACCAACCTGGACACAGCATATTATTTGAGAACACAGAAATGCTGGACCACTCTCACAACCACCATGTCAGGCTACACAGAGAAGCCATTGAAATCCACAAGCATGTGGACAATTTCAACAGAAAGGAGGAAACCATGAAAATGAACAAAATCTGGCTACCAGTATTAAAAAAAACTCTAAAATTACAACAGCAAAAACAGAGAGGAAACAAACAAGGACATCTAATCACCTCTCAACAAAAGTTTGCTCCAGGCACTGTCAGGCCATTATATGCTAATCAAGGTGGTCAGTTGAAACATTCACACCTAGCTCCAGCAGACAAGAGTCCTTTGTCCCACCCTGGTCATTCCACAGATATATAAACCCCTTTTTCCCAGTTCCAGCAGACCTCACTACCTCTGAGGATGCTTGCCATAGATGCAGGCGAAACGTCAGGAGAAAAATTGCCTCCAGAACAGGGCCATATAGCCCGGAAAAACCTACAACAACCCAGTGATTCCGGCCATGAAAGCCTTCGACAATACAAATACTGGATGGCGACCTGTTGGCCAGGCCTGGGCTGTGTGCCTGCCTTCCTGCCTGATATAAGAGGGTGGGGCTAAATGACCTCGGGGGCCCCTCATTCCCAATCTCATCTCGACTGCCTGGGCGGCCCGCCCGCTCCCTTTCCCTTTCGCTTTCTCTTTCGGGGCGGAGGCGGAGAGGGAGATGGCGGCGGAAGACTCGGACTGCGAGGACCCGCAGGCTGCCCTCCTGAGGGAGAGCCCCCCTCCCCGCAGGACCCCAGCGCCCCCTCCCGCCTCCCTCTGCCAATGGGCATTGTCCCCGGTCATCTACTGCTGGAACCTCTGCCGCAGAACGGTCAGTACTGGGAGAGGAAGAGGAGGAGGAGTCCTGTGGGCTCTCTGCGCATGCTCAGGAAGGCCTTTGCACCCTGGCAGGGAGTTCTCTCCTGGGAGAGAGTGGCAAGGGAGCCCCTGAGCGTGTGCAGAGAGCAGAGCAGGCCTTGCTTGGCAGAAGAGGGACAAACAAAAGCATTGGTTACCAGGAAGGGAGAGAGGGAAGTGAAAGACAGGCCTTCCCAAAATAGCCCTTGGAAACTAGGCACCCCAGGGATCCCTTGCCCTGAAATGCAAAGTCATAGAATCCTAGAATCAAAGAGTTGGAAGAGACCTCCTGAGCCATCCAGTCCAACCCCATTCGGCCAAGAAGCAGGAATATTGCATTCAAAACACCCCTGACAGATGGCCATCCAGCCTCTGTTTAAAAGCTTCTAAAGAAGGAGCCTCCACCACACTCCCTCTGGGGCAGAGAGTTCCACTGCTGAATGGCTCTCACAGTCAGGAAGTTCTTCCTCATGTTCAGGTGGAATCTCCTCTCTTGTAGTTTGAAGTCATTCCTCCCTTGCGTCCTAGTCTCCAGGGAAGCAGAAAACAAGCTTGCTCCCTCCTCCCTATGACACATTCCCCTCACATATTGATACATGGCCCTCATCATGTCTCCTCTCTGCCTTCTGTTCTTCAGGCTAAACATGCCCAGCTCTTTAAGCTGCTCCTCATAGGGCTTGTAGTCCAGATCCTTGAACCTTTGAGTCGCCCTCCTCATGACACATTCCATCTTGTCAATATCTCTGGGATGCCCTCTTCACATAATATATCTTCAAACCAAGTTTGGGGTGGGGGGATCCTTTCCTTTATATCTCTCCATTGTCACCAGTTCAGACCAGTAACTTATACAGTTCTCTTCTGAAATCTGCTGGGACTCCTCTGGGTTTCTCTTTAAATCTTATTCAGTGTTTTACGAAACAGTCTTCATACACAACTCCACATTAACTGAGTTTATTTATACATGTCTTGCACAAAAGCTTGTTGGTTACATTTGTATATTAGCGTCTTAGTTGAATATAACATTGTTTCATGACAACTCTCATCCTTATGACTTTCTACACATAGAAAGATTCCCTTGTTAACCATATAATAGCAAACTCTCAACTGTTCTCCACTCACTATCCTGACTATTTCCTTAAATACTCTTACTTAACTTATTCTCTGACCTATATTCATTGGCCCCTAACTTATCCTCATCTAACGGCTTTTCTTCCCTCTCATAGAATCATAGAATCAAAGAGTTGGAAGAGACCTCCTGGGCCATCCAGTCCACCCCCATTCTGCCAAGAAGCAGGAACATTGCATTCAAATCACCCCTGACAGATGGCCATCCAGCCTCTGTTTAAAAGCTTCTAAAGAAGGAGCCTCCACCACACTCCTGGGCAGAGAGTTCCACTGCTGAACAGCTCTCACAGTCAGGAAGTTCTTCGTCATGTTCAGGTGGAATCTCCTCTCTTGTAGTTTGAAGCCATTGTTTTACATCTTAGTCTCCATGGAAGCAGAAAACAAGCTTGCTCCCTCCTCCTCCCTGTGGCTTCCTCTCACATATTTATACATGGCTCTCATCATATCTCCTCTCAGCCTTCTCTTCTTCAGGCTAAACATGCCCAGCTCCTTAAGCCGCTCCTCATAGGGCTTGTTCTCCAGACCCTTGATCATTTGAGTCACCCTCCTCTGGACACATTCCAGCTTGTCAATATCTCTCTTGAATTTTGGTGCCCAGAATTGGACACAATATTCCAGGTGTGGTCTAACCAAGGCAGAATAGAGCATGGGGAGCATGACTTCCCTAGATCTAGACACTATGCTCCTCTTGATGCAGGCCAAAATCCCATTGGCTTTTTTTGCCGCCACATCACATTCCTGGCTCATGTTTAACTTGTTGTCCACGAGGACTCCAAGGTCTTTTTCTTGGAGTCCAGCAACTAGCCAGCCTTGAAGGAAAGACTCAAGAGGCTGCTTGCTTGCTTTCGCTTTCTGGTTCCTGGCATGAGAAGGCCCTCCTGAGCCCAAAGGATTGTCGTTCTCTATTGCATGATTCGTGGATGCAGAAAACTGGCAGGTTGTCCCAATCCAAGGGCTTTGCTCAATGCTCTGAAGTCCTGCTGGGAGGTGTCGTTTTGCAAGGGCTTCCCTGCCAAAGAAGGCTAGTGCCTAGATCCAGGGAAGTCCTGCTCCCCATGCTCTATTCCACCTTGGTTAGACCACACTTGGAATATTGTGTCCAATTCTGGGCACCACAATTGAAGAGAGATGTTGACTCTAAGCTGGAATGTGTCCAGAGGAGGGCAACTCAAAGGATCAAGGGTCTGGAGAACAAGCCCTATGAGGAGCGGCTTAAGGAGCTGGGCATGTTTATACTTCAGAATAAAAGGCTTAGAGGAGACGTGATAGCCATGTATATGTATGTGAGAGGAAGTCACACGGAGGAGGGAGCAAGCTTCCTTTCTGCTGCCCTGGAGACTAGAATCATAGAATCCTAGAGTTGGAAGAGACCTCCTGGGTCATCCAGCCCAACCCCATTCTGCCAAGAAGCAGGAAAGTTGCATTCAAAGCACCCCCAGCAGATGGACATCCAGCCTCTGTTTCAAAGCTTCCAAAGAAGGAGCCTCCACCACACTCTGGGGCAGAGAGTTCCACTGCTGAACAGCTCTCACAGTTAAGAAGTTCTTCCTCGTATTCAGAAGGAATCTCCTTTCTTGTAGCTTGAAGCCATTGCTCCATTGAGCACCTCCCCCAGAGCCAAAAGTTGAATACGACTTCCAGAAGCCCGAGATGAAAGGGGAAGCCTTTGCCTTTGTCTGTGAATTGTATCAAGGCATTGAATCTTTGCCTGTGTTTGTATATACTGTAATCCACTCTTAAGGCCCCTCGGGGAGAGAGTGCAGAATATAAATAAAGTGTGCTGTTATTATTATTATTACTACTACTACTACTACTACTACTAGCCATCCCCCTGCCATGTGTTGCTGTGGCCCAATCTGTGTCTATGTGTATATGTGTGTTTGCGTGTGTGTGTGTGTGTGTGTATATGGTTTTTTGCATGCGTTGTAATGTATTCTCTTATTTTTTGGCTTTTTAAGTCTCTTCCGCTGTGTTTTTCAGTGTTTTTATGAGTGATGGTCACTCGTTGGCCTGATAGGTATCTTGTGTCCAAATTTGGTGACAATTCGTCCAGTGGTTTTTGAGTTATGTTAATCCCACAAAAAAACATTATATTTTTATTTATATAGACTAGCCGTCCCCTGCCATGCTTTGCTGTGGCCCAGTCTGTGTATATGTATTTTGTATGTGTATATATCTGTGTATGTGTGTGTATATATATTTGTGGGTTTGTGTATATATGGGGTGCCTTTTAAGTCCCTTCCGTTGTGTTTTTCAGTGTTTTTATGAGTGATGGTCACTCGTTGGCCTGATGGGTGTCTTGTGTCCAAATTTGCTGTCAATTCGTCCAGTGGTTTTTGAGTTGTTAATCCCACAAATGAACATTGCATTTTTATTTATATAGATTACTAGCTGTACCCGCCACGCATTGCTGTGGCCAACCTTCCCCCTTTCACTCCTTCTTTCCCTCCTTCTTTTGCTCTCTCTTTCCTTCCTTCCTTCCTTCCTTCCTTCCTTCCTTCCTTCCTTCCTTCCTTCCTTCCTTCCTGTCTTTCCTTCTCTTCTTCCTTCCTTCTCTATCTCTTTCCTTCCTTCCCCCTTTTTCTTTCTCTTCTGCTATCTCTCTTTTCTTCCTTCTTTCTTTCCTTCCCTCCCTCTTTCTTTACATCTTCCCCCTTCCTTCGCTCCCTCTTTCCTTCCTTCTTTCCCTTTTTTCTTTCCTTCTCTCCTTCCTTCCTTCTCTAACTTTCCTTCTCCCTTTTTCTTTCCCTCCCGCTTTCTCTCCTTTCTTCCTTCTCTACCTCTTTCCTTCCTTCTCTCTTTGCTTCCATGTTTCCTTCCCCTTTCCTTCTTTCTTTCCCTCCCTTCCTCCCTCTTTCTTTTATTTTATTTTCCTTTCTTTCTTTCTTTCTTTCTTTCTTTCTTTCTTTCTTTCTTTCTTTCTTTCTTTCTTTCTGCGTTTTTCAGTGTTTTATGAGCGAAGGACATACTTTGGCCTGATAGGTGTCTTGTGTCCAAATTTGGTGTCAATTCCCCCAGTAGTTTTTGAGTTCTATTAATCCCACAAACTAACATGACATTTTTATTTATATAGATTATTGTTATTATTCTTTTGTTTGTAACTCTGGGACTGCCTGTACCCGTCCAGCCTGAAAACCGATGCACTTGTCCTCCTTTGCAGGTGGTGGGTGCTGCGCATCTATGTGTGCGGCTGTGGCGTTTGCTGTTTTGTCGAAGGAAGCCTGAAAACCTGCTCCTGGGAGGATCCCAAAATTGGGAGAAGCGAAGATGCTGGTTGTGGTCGTGGTTGTGGTCATGGATTGAAGCAGGTGAGCAGAACAGCACCAGAATGGCCGGAGGGGAATGTGAATGTGATGCATTGAGCTGTGGCCATCAAAGTTGTGTCAGACTTCATTAATTCTGTAATGTGGATGCACCCCAAAAGAGTGTCGACCCTCCTCTTCTCTTCCCCAGAGCTCCCCATCCGGGTCCGTGTCACAGGGCAGACCGGTGACTGCGAGCACCAGTTCTTAAAGAAGGTCTCCGACTGCGTTTCCCAGGACTTCATCCGTCTCAAGAAGGGTGATTCCTCTGCTCAATTCCTGAATGTCTTCTGCCCGGTGGTTTCTCGGGTGGGCACCGACATGCAGAACGCTCTGGGGGGTCTCCATGGTAAGTCTAGTGTGGCTAAGCAAACCTCTCTCCGTTTTGCCCTCCCGCATTTCCTCCTTGGGATCAGTAACTGGGCACATTGGCATTGGGAGGGCGTAAAGGCGAGGCAGAGAAACAGACTTGGGGTGTTTGGAGCAAATGTGCCGCAAAGAATGCGATAAGGTTTGGCCTGGGATACAGTGGGATTCTGCCCCGGCCAATCCTGCTGTGGCCAATAGGAAGCAGTCAAGGTGTGACATTTGGGCACTAAAAGTGAGATAGGCCTCCCTCTCTCCCTTCCTTCTTTCCTCCCTCCCTCATTTCTTCCTTCGTTCCTTCCTTTGTCCCTCCCTCCCTCCCTCCCTCCCTCCCTCCTTTCCTTCCTTCCTTCCTGCCTACCTGCCTGCCTGCCTGCCTGCCTCCTTTCCTTCTTTCTTTCTTTCTTTCTTTCTTTCTTTCTTTCTTTCTTTCTTTCTTTCTTCCCTCCCCTCCTTCTTTCCTTCTTTCTTTCCTTCTTTCTCCACGGTTTCTCCTAGGCCTGGGTAACAACGGAAAAATTTGTTTCTAAAATCGATTTGTATTTGGGGGTTTTTTTGTTTCGATATTTAAAATAATTACAAAATTTTCCTTTTAAAAAGTTCGATATTTACGAAATTTCGTAAATGTGAAAAAAATTACAAAACATTAACGAATCGATTTCCGAAACAATAACGAATCGATTCGTTAATGGCGGACGCGACCGCGAAATACGCTAAAAAACCTCCAAAAACTTCTGAAGCTTCCCTCTCCCTCTGTTGTTGACTGTTGGTGTGATATTATAATTTTTTTTCACTAATTAAACAAAAAACTTGCCCCAGACATGCGGAAATAATAACGAAACGACCTCAGAACAATAACGAAACGAATACAATAACGAAATACGAAGCATTTACAAAACGTGTTTAAAAATTCGTTTTTTTTAAAAAATTGCTCCAGAATGGTTCGTTATCGTTTTGTAATTAAAAAAATTAACGAATTATTAACGAATTATGAATTAACGAAACGAAAGAAACCGCCCAGCCCTTCTTCTCTCCTCCCTCCCTCCCCTCCCCTCCTTCCTCCCCTCCTTCTTTCCTTCCCCCTCCCTCCTTCCCTTCCTTTCTTCCTCCCTTCCTTCCTCCCTCCCTCTTTTTCCTTCCTTCCTTCCTTCCTCCTCCCTCCCTCCCCCCTCCCTCCTTCCTTCCTTCTTTTCTTCCTCCCTCCCTCCCCTCCTTCTTTCTTCCTCCCTCTCTTCCTTCCTCCTTTTCTTCCTTTCTCCTTCCCTCCTTTCTTTCTTCCCTTCCTTCCTTCTTCCTTCCTTCTTTCTTCCCCTCCTCCCTCCCTCCCTCTCCTTCTTTCCTTCCTTCCTTCCTCCCTCCCTCCTCCCTCCCCTCCCCTCCCTCCCTTCTTTCCTCCCTCCCTCCCTCCCTCTCTTCCCTCCCTCCTTTCCCTCCCCTCCCCTTTCTTTCCTTCCTCTCCTTCCTCCTTCTCCCCCTTCCTCCCTCCCTTCTTCTTTCTCCTCCCTCCCTCCCTTCTTTTCCTTCCTTCCTCTCCCTTCCCTCCCTCCCTCCCTTCTTCTTTCCTCCCTCCCCTCCTTCTTTCCTTCCTCCCTCTCTTCCTTCCCTCCTTTCTTTTCCTTTCTTCCTTCCCTCTCTTCCTTCCTCCCTCCTCCTCTTCTTTCCTTCCTCCCTCCCTCCCTTCCTTTATTCCTCCCTCCCTCCCTCCCTCCCTCCCTCCATTCACCGTACCTTAAACAAAGCTTCACTACGATTAGTGGCTGTTTGGAAGTTCCTCCCCAACCCCTTCACGGCCTGCCTTGTGCGTCTCCTTCCAGGTGAGAGCAAGGCCATCTTGGTGATGCTGCACCACATGCCCAAGGAGAGCAACCGCTTTGTGGACACCAAGCAGCAGGCATCTCACCCAGCCGTGGTGCGCACCGTCCACACTCGCTACACGCTCGAAGACGGCCTCTACCCCTGCCAGGTGAACAAGGAGGCCGTGGAGGATGTGGCCAAAATCTTCATCAACCATTGCAAAGGGGTGAGGAGGATCCAGCGATTCCTGGCGCTCTCCCTGCGCTGTGTGTTCTGGAGTACAATCGCAATAGCGATAGCTGTCAAGAGTGGCATTGTCAACATAGCAGGGTATGGAGGAGGAGGAGAAGGAGGAGAAGAAGGAGTAGTAGTAGGAGGAGGAGGAGGCGGCAACGGCAGCAGCGGAGGAAGAGAATATTAATACTAAAATTCTTACTACAGTTTGCTCTTGGTATCCACAAATTCTACCATCTGTGGCTTCAAATATTTCAAATAAAAAGCAAGCCTTGATTTTGCCACGTCTGTGTACGTTGCCACTTTATGTTGCATTGTCTATAATGGGACTCGAGTCTCTGCATATTTGGGCATCCTCTGGAGCCCTGGAACCAAACTACAGCAGGTAATCAAGGGCCTGCGGTGTATCTAAGGCAGTGTTTCTCAACCTGGGGGTCGGGACCCCTGGGGGGGGTCACAAGGAGAGTCAGAGGGGTCACCAAAGACCATCAGAAAACACAGTACTTTCTGTTGATTATGGGGGATCTGTGTGAGAAGTTTGGCCCAATTCTATTGTTGGTGGGGTTCAGAATATTCTTTGATTGGAGGTGAACTATAAATCCCAGCAATTACAACTCCCAAATGTCAAGGTCTATTTTCCTCAAATTCCACCAGTATTCACATTTGGGCATATTGAATATTCATGCCAAGTTTGGTTCAGATCCATCATTTGAGTCCACAGTGCTCTCTGAATGTAGGTGAACTACAACTCCGAAATTCAAGGTCAATGTCCATCAGAATCCAGTCTCATCATCCATTATTCTGTATTCCCATGTTCAATTACACTGTTTAATCGAATGCTTGTTCAAACAGCCAGGTCTTCACTTTCCTCCAAAACGCCAGCAGGGAGGGGGCCGATCTGATATCTATAGGAAGGGTGTTCGACAGCCGAGGGGCCACCACTGAGAAGGCCCTGTCTCTCATCCCCGCTAGGCGCACCTGTGATGCAGGTGGGACAGAGAGCAGGGCCTCCCCAAATGATCTTAGTGTCGGTTCATAGGAGGAGATGCGTTCGGAGAGGTAAGTAGGGCCAGAACCATTTAGGGCTTTATAGGCTAACGCCAGCACTTTGAATTGTGCCCGGTAGCAAACTGGCAGCCAGTGGAGCTGGCGCAACAGAGGAGTCGTATGCTCCCTGAGTGCCGCTCCTGTTAGCAACCTGGCTGCCAAACGCTGGACCATTTGAAGCTTCCGAGCAGTCTTCAAAGGCAACCCCACGTAGAGAGCGTTGCAGTAGTCTATGTGGGATGTAAGCAGAGCGTGGACTACCGTGGCCAAGTCAGACTTCCCAAGGTATGGGCACAGCTGGTGCACAAGTTTACCTGTGCAAATGCTCCCCTGGTCACCGCTGAAACCTGGGGTTCCAGGCTCAGCGATGAGTCCAGGATCACTCCCAAGCTGCGAACCTGCGTCTTCAGGGGGAGTGCGACCCCGTCCAACACAGGCTGTAACCCTATACCCTGTTCGGCCTTGCGACTGACCAGGAGTACCTCTGTCTTGTCTGGATTCAATTTCAATTTGTTCACCCTCATCCAGACCGTCACAGCAGCCAAGGACCTGAACAGAATGGCCCAGGAGGTCTCCTCCAACTCTAGGATTCTATGATTCTATGACTTGAAACTTCAGAGACTGCATCTCACCACCATACAACATTCTCCATACAGCATATTTAGCACCATCTGACTTCCCGATAATGAAGGAAGATCTGCGGGGACTTCATTCTGCTTCTGATGAAGATGTTGAGAGAAGTATGAGACACTGGTTGCAGAAACAGAGCGTCGACTTCTTCTGTGACGGCTTCAGAAAACTTGTTCTTCGTTGGCAGAAATGTATCCAATTGTCTGGTGATTATGTGGAAAAGTAAATAGCGGTAGTTAAAGAGCACATTCTAAGCATTATTATTTCTGTGTTTGATTTATTAAAATAGTCCCATCCAAATCCAGGTAACGAAGGTGGAGGCATAACTTTTCATTCGGCTCTCGTAATCAAACTAGACCCAGTGATAAATTCCACTCTACGTTTTAGCCCAAACTTTTAACGGCAGCTTCCAGGTCTGTCCTTCCCTCTCCTCTCCTTTCCTTTCCTCCGCACTCTCTTGCAAAACATCAACACAGAACACATTTCAAGCACATTGGGCCTAGAGTATTTTATTTCAAATTTTGGATCTGTAAAGACCCAGCAGCAAAAATAGGGCAGGCGGTGTAGGTTCAGTGTGTAAACTACAAAATGCAGGGAAACGGGGCTTTTGGGGGCAAGGCTCCAGCACGGGGCTACGACGAGAGCTTCGAGGCAAGAAGGTCGGAACGGCCAGAGGTGTTCTTATGGCTTCTCGGTCTCTCCTCGTTGTGGTCCAGGAACAGCAGCTACTCCCTGTTGGAAAGAAAGGGAGAGTTGGGAGTGCTGCGCAGCAAGTGGATCTAAGCCACGTCCCATGCACAAGACACACAGACAAGAGTAGAAATGAACAGAAAAATCTTTTCTCTCAATAGCAGAAATTAAACATAAACTTGCAATGTTGCATACAAAAACAAACAGTGCAGGAAACTTACATAGTCTTTGTAAGTAACACAAAATAAGGCATTTTTATCTTAAGTCAAATGAGAAAGCAAAACGTAAACCTTGAGCAAACAGCTATTAGACCATAGCCTCTAGGCCTGTGCGGTTTCGTTCGTTAATTCGTTAATTCATTATTAATTCGTTATTTTTACCATTTCCGAAGCGATATTGAAACATATTTCCAAACCCGGAAGGGTTTTTAAATATCGAACCAGCAGCCCCCAGAGTTTTAACGAGCCTCCGCTCGTTTCGTTAATGGGGTGGAGGCTGCTGGAGTGCTGGTGCATGGGAGCCAATCCGGCGCTCCCAAACAGTGCACCACCATGGGTCCGTGGCTGCCTGTTTTTGATTGGCCGGCGAGCCCTTTCAAAGCGGCTCCGCGCGGCCCGTAGCTTCAAGAGGGCGAGGGAGTTTGCATTGGGTTGGCTTGGCAATGGCTGCTAGCAACTGGATTGGATTCATTCCTTGCTGCTGTGAGTGCTGCTTGCTTCATTTGCTGTCTCTTGCCTGTGTTTGGTCCACATTTGGGCCATTTTTTGGTTAATTTTCCATTTTAAAATATTTTTAATATTATTTTTTAATATTATTTTTAATATTATTTTTTAATATTATTTTTTAATATTATTTTTTACTATTATTCTTAAAAAATATTCTAAAAAAGAAAAGACTCTTCTGTTGGTGTGTGCTCTCATTTGCTGTATCCTGCCTGTGTTTGGTCCACATTTGGGCCATTTTTTGGTTAATTTTCCATTTTAAAATATTTTTTAATATTATTTTAATATTGTTCTTAAAAAATACAAAAAAATATTCCTAAAATTCGTTAATATTTACAAAATTTCTTAAATACCAAAACTTTTTTTGGAAAGTTTTGTAATTATTTTAAATATCGAAACAAAAAAACACCCCAATTACAAATTGATTTTAGAAACAAATTTTTTCTTGATCAAACAGGCCTAATAGCCTCCTCAAGCAGCATAACGGCTTCTCTCCAACCTGCTCCTCAGAGCAAGCCTTTGAGCACAGATCTCCTCAGAGAAAAAGCTCTCCAGAACTGTATTCCAAAAACCCATACAGTTATACTCTACTGGATGTGGTCCAAGATTGCTGGTTGACCTACATTACCAGCTGCATATAATAATTGAGTCGCCGATAGGCTGAGAAAGGCGATATACAAGTATAGTAAATAAAATAAAATAAATAAATAAATATCATCATAAGGTTTTCTTCAACACACACACACTTGACCCTGCTACAACTTACTGTAACAGGAAGGGACCTCCAAAGTCCATCCAGACTGACCCCCTTCTGCCAGGCAGGAAGACCCATTACAAGTACTTTCAATGGATGGCTATCCAGCCTCTGCTTAAAAACCCAGAACTGGACACAAAGAGCCGGACTGTGATTTCACTTGATGAACCCTATGTGCAATCCATGGTTCTAAATGGTTCTAAAGTACTTACAAAACTAAAGTTCTGGTGGTGAAAACTAGGGGACGCTGGTGCTTTGCTTTACAGTGTTGCTAAAGTTCTGGTGGTGAAAATTTCAGAATTCTAACAAAACTTTCAAAATTTCATTATTATTTCATTATTGGAGATTTTTACGACAGAACCTATTAGGAACTGCCACTTATAATGAAATTTTGAAAGTTGTTTTTAGAGTTCTGAAATTTTCACCACCAGAATTTTAGCAACACTGTAGAAGCAAAGCACCAGCGCCCCCTAGTTTTCACCACCAGAACTTCAGTTTTGTAAGTACTTTAGAACCATGGATTGCACATGCCTACTGGATAGCCCCATTGGCCCCCAAATCTTTTGATGCCGCTTACACTTCGTTGTCCTTGAACCCACGCAGGGCCTCCCCGGCCACCAGCTCCATGAAGCGAGGGTCTTCCAGAGGCACGTCTCCAGGGACGCTCACGGTCTGAGGCTCCGAGTCAAACACCTGGAGGGTCACCTGAGTGTCAGCCAGTTCAGAAGGGCCCTCCGGTGTGGCAGGTTTGGAGATCACCTGGGAAAAGAGAAAGAAGGAAATGCAAAACACATCAAGGCACTGCCTCTCCTACATGTGGCGGACATGTGAAAAAGCAAAACAAGATGGGCCAAACTAACAAGATGAAGTTCAAGAGGGACAAATGCAAGAGACTCCATTTAGGCAGAAAAAAGGAAATGCAAAGAGACATTCAAAACTAATTTTGAACCATTTTTTTTAATCAAACAGCCTAGTATAGGTGTGTGTGTGTGTTTGTGTGTGTGTGTGTGTGTGGTTTTGCACATGTGCTATAATTTTTGGCTTTTTGTGGCTCTTCTGTTGTGTCTTGCCATGCTTTTATGAGTGATGGTCACTTGTTGAATTGTGTCCAAATTTGGTGCCAATTCGTCCAGTGGTTTTTGAGTTCTGTTAATCCCACAAACAAACTACAATTTTATTTTTCAGCTATTTGGCTGGAGTTACACTTATAGGATACACTTACAGGATATATATGTTTTTAATTATTTTATATGGTTTTATAATGTGTGTTAGATGTTTTATATTTTATATGGTTTTCAATGGTTTTATAATATGTGCTAAATGTTTTTAGTTGTGTTTTATGACTGTTGTGGCATCGAATTTCTACCAATTTGTAAGCTGCCTTGAGTCGCCTTCAGGCTGAGAAAGGCGGCACAGAAATACCATAAACAAATAATAAATAAATATGCCTGTTCCAACTTACATACAAATTCAACTTAAGAACAACACTACAGAACTTATCGTATTCGAAACATGGGGAGAGGACTCTTCGGCCTTGGGAGATCTCAAAACAATAGTTGCAAGGCAATGTTTTAGGAACAATACTCCAGAGGACAGGAGCAGGATTCAAAACGATCTTGACAGATTAGAGAGATAAAGGGCCAAAACTAACAAAATGAAGTTCAACAGTGACAAATGCAAGAGACTCCACTTTGGCAGAAAAAACGAAATGCAAAGATACAGAATGGGGGACAATGCCTGGCTCGAGAGCAGTACGTGTGAAGAAGATCTTGGAGTCCTCGTGGACAACAAGTTAAACATGAGCCAGGAATGTGATGTGGCGGCAAAAAAAGCCAATGGGATTTTGGCCTGCATCAGTAGGAGCATAGTGTCTAGGTCCAGGGAAGTCCTGCTCCCCATGCTCTATTCCGCTTTGGTTAGACCACAGCTGGAATATTGTGTCCAATTCTGGGCACCACAATTCAAGAGAGATATTGACAATCTGGAATGTCTAGGTTCTTGTGGGTTTTTTCGGGCTACAGGGCCATGTTCTAGAGGCATTTCTCCTGACGTTTCGCCTGCATCTATGGCCTACAGAACTTATCGTATTCATAACATGGGGAGTGTTCTGGAATGTGTCCAGAGGAGGGCAACTAAAATGATCAAGGGTCTGGAGAACAAGCCCTATGAGGAGTGGCTTAAGGAGCTGGGCATGTTTAGCCTGAAGAAGAGAAGGCTGAGAGGAGATGTGATAGCCATGTATAAATATGTGAGAGGAAGCAACAGGGAGGAAGGAGCAAGCTTGTTTCCTGCTTCCATGGAGACCAGGACAAGGAACAATGGCTTCAAACTACAAGAGAGGAGATCCCATCTGAACATGAGGAAGTGCTTCCTGACTGTGTGAGCCGTTCAGCAGTGGAACTCTCTGCCCCGGAGGGAGTGTGGTGGAGGCTCCTTCTTTGGAAGCTTTTAAAGAAGAGGCTGGATGGCCATCTGTCAGGGATGATTTGAATGCAATATTCCTGCTCCTTGGCAGAATGGGGTCTCTTCCAACTCTTTGATTCTATGGTTTTATGTTCCTGCATGGCAGAAGCGGACTGGACTAGATGGCCCTTGGGACCCCTTTCTAATCCCAAATAAGACACAAACCAATGAGTTAAAAGGACAAGGAAAGCGACCATTAGGAAGAACCAGTTTAGACTGTTAAGAACGAACTACTTGGGAGGTTGGTGGGCTCTTCTGCCTTGGATGGCACTGTCTCGGGAAGGCATTGTCGCCTGGTAGAAAGAGGTCAGACTAGATGGCCCTTGGGAGTCCCTTCTCCCAACCCCGTAATTAATTGCATGGGGCACGCACCGTGATGACCTTGAGGGGCTTGTCCTGGTGGCGGGTGGCGTTGGCCAGGCGGGAGACCCATCCGAATTGCTGGTTGAGCCGGTCTAGGAGGGCTGTGGTGTTGAGCATCTCCTCCTGGAAGGCCTTCAGGAGCCCCTCGTAGCGCTGGGTGAAGCGCTCCGCCAGGCGCACGGCGTCCTCAAAGCGCTCCCGCAGCTGGCTCTGCTCGGGGTCTGTCTGGGAGCAATCTGGGGGAGAGAGGGTCCCCAAGAACAGAAGGACACATTGAAAACCAGTCAAGCCATTCAGCAACCACCCCTATTGGCTGTGGGTAACTAACTATGGCTAGACAAGGGGTGGCATTGGAACTTTATGACAACTCTGGAGGCACACAGCCTATCTCCTAAACCAGGCCTGGGCCAACTTTGGCCCTCTAGATGTTTTGGATTTCAACTCCCACAATTCCTAACAGCTCACCTCACTACCTCTGAGGATGCTTGCCATAGATGTAGGCGAAACGTCAGGAGAGAATGCCTCTAGAACATGGCTATATAGCCCGAAATAACCTACAACAACCCAGCTTACCAGCTGTTAGGAATTGTGGGAGCTGAAGTCCAAAACACCAGGAGGGCCAAAGTTGGACCAGGCCTATTATGCACATTTTGCACAATGCCATGACTCACCCACTTCCAAGATGGCCTTGCACTTCTCGCAGCGTTCCTTCATTTTCAGGCAGCCGGCAGAGTTGCGTCGGATCTCGCGGCACACCATGCGGTCATTGCCGGGACTTGCAGTACCTGCCCAGAGGGAGAAGCCAAGGCTTTGGTCACTCTCACGTCCAGCTCCCCAAACATTGGCCCTTTCATGCTGCCCTCACCCCAAAAGGGAGCCAGGTTTGCACTTTCTACTTTCAACTGCAAGTCCATTTGAGACACTGATGGAGTACTTCCTCATTCTTTGCTTGCTTGCTGGAGATTTTATAGCATCGTAAATTAGTTAAATTAGCCTCCCCACATAAGAGGTATCAAAATTTCCTACTTGATAGATGCAACTGTCTTTCAGGCTGCAAAGGTCGATAGCAAGCTACACACAATGGTTGGAAGCTCACTCCGACCCAGGCTGGCTTCGAACTCATGACATTTTGGTCAGTAGAGATCTTAATGCAGCTGACTCCCAGCCAGCTGCGCCACAGTCCCGGTGCTGTCTATCTATTTATTGTTCCCCTCTTCTATAGAGCTAGTTAACTATCACCATATCTATCTATCTTTCCTCTTATCAAGCTAGTTAACTATAATCACATCTATCTATCTATCTATCACCATTACTATTACTCTTATTATTATTATTCTCTTTCATCTGTTTGTCTATTGACCTATCTGTGGCATGTATCCTATCATTCATTCTTTTTATGTAGCTAAGTTAACTATCATACCTCACTTAAAGCCAGAGTCTGAGCTCAAGTGGCAGTTGAGTTCCCACAGAAGTTGAGGAAGTAAGAAGCCACCTTTGCTCCCTTTGCTTCAGGTAAGCTTCGTCTTACAGTGCATTAGAAATCAGAGTGTGTGTTTTAGACTAGCTGCGCTGAGTGTTTATTTTGTTTGGGAGGTGAGGCTAAATTCCTCAGCCAGCAGTAATTGACAGTTTCAGGTCAGCAATTAGTGACTGATGGTTCTCTGTTCTTTGAAGCTCTCTGGAAGTGAGTGTTTGCTTCCTGTTTAATCTATATAAGCTAGCATCTATATAAGTTAGCAGCGTGTACAAACTCACACCTTCACTAAGTCACACCTTTACCCCTGAATGCAGAAAACAACATAAAACAAGCACACAAAAGGGGAGGTTTTTAGCCAATTTCCATCCAGGCTGTATGGCCATGTTCTAGCAGCATTTTCTCTTGCTACATGCAGGAGAAAATACTGATAGAACATGGCCATACAGCCCAGAAACCACACAGCACCCCAGTGATTCTGGTTGGGAAAGCCTTTGACTGTTGGGGCTTAACAGCAAGATACTGTGGATTTCTCAGGGGAAGAGAGGGATGATGGGTTTCCCACTGAGGAGTCTGTGTGTGTTCAGGGCGAATTGCAGACCTTAGATCAGAGAGAAGTGCCAGCAGTTGATGATGAGAAAGAGGTTATTTTGGATTCCTATGTTCGCTCCTTAATAATAGGGAAAATCCTTGTTTGCTCCTTAGCAATAGGGTAAAGTCAATTTCCCTTGGGGATCAGTCTTCAACTGGAGGAGGTGTTTTCCTGCAGTATCAAATTAAGTCTCTGCAAGTAGGAAGTGAATGACAGATTAATTAGGTGTCCAGAAAGACTCCATGAGAAGTCCTTGAAACCCAGGTGTGTGAGGCATGATCTCATGGCATCTTGGCACTTCATCTTGCTACCTCCTGCAGAATTCTGGGGTTTGTAGTTTAGGGAAGAGCCTTTAACAGCCTTACTAAACTACAAACCCCAGAATTCTGCAGGAAGCAGAAACCTGATTTAATGTGGATTCATTCTCTAGTGTGATAAAGTACTTGGTTGAGCCAGGGCTTAAATTAAGTGATGTTCACATGGTGTCTCCAGAGCAGACAATGTTGTCATAGAGTCGTGTTCCTTTTTCAGCTCTAAACCTCATGATTCATGTTTTCCTATGTTCCTGAAAGAGTTTTGCCTTAGAAAAGTTCCTGTTTTCATGTTTATGCATGTATACCTATGATCTTGGCTTCCTTGACTTCATGTACCTTGCTATTTTGAACTATTGTTCAAAATATGGGCTGTTGGCTATTTTATAGCACCTTTTCTACTGCTCTTTGAGAAGCTGGAATGTGTCCAGAGGAGGGCGACTCAAATGATCAAGGCTCTGGAGAACAAGCCCTATGAGGAGCGGTTTAAGGAGCTGGGCATGTTTAGCCTGAAGAAGAGAAGGCGGAGAGGAGATATGATAGCCATGGATAAATATGTGAGAGGAAGCCACAGGGAGGAGGAGGGAGCAAGCTTGTTTTCTGCTTCCTTGGAGACTAGGATGCGGAACAATGGCTTCAAACTACAAGAGAGGAGATTCCATGTGAACATTAGGAAGAACTTCCTGACTGTGAGAGCCGTTCAGCAGTGGAACTCTCTGCCCCGGAGCGTGGTGGAGGCTCCTTCTGTGGAAGCTTTTAAACAGGGGCTGGATGGCCATCTGTCAGGGGTGATTTGAATGCAATATTCCTGCTTCTTGGCAGAATGGGGTTGGACTGGATGGCCCAGGAGGTCTCTTCCAACTCTTTGATTCTATGATTCTATGAATGGGCTCTGGTGCGGTGCTGGGTGAAAAGGTGCCTCAAGGTGAGAGTGCAACATCGTCTCACTCACCTGCAGGGAAGCCACCCAGGTAGGGTGCCATGCTGGGTCCCACCCACTGCCCGTCCCGCTCCATGGCCTTCTGGGCCCCCTCGAAGAGGCGCTGGGTCATGTCGTAGAAGGGCTGGAAGAACTGCCGGAAGTCGTGGTGGGGCCGCAGCAGAGGGGCTGGGAAGAGGGGGGAAGCGGCGAGAGCAGGATGCGTGCTGCGGGCCAGGCGAGAGGGAATGCGCATGCCGCGCAGGGGGGCCCAGGACTCCCAGAAGCCTCCAAACGGGGCGGCAAAGAAGGGGGCCAGCTTGTGGTAGGCCTGGGAGCTCTCCTGGAAGAGGTCATCCACGCCGCCCTCCACCTGGCTGAAGCGCTCCTCCAGGTCCTCCAGGCGCCGGCCCTGCTCCTCCCCGGCCTCCAGCAGGGAGTCCACGCGCTCCCCATTCACCCAGACCGAGAAGGGAGAGGAGTGGTTCAGGAAGTCCTCCAGCTGGAGCCAGGATTGCAAAAGAGAAACAAGGAGGGGAATTAATACAAATAATAAGAATTAAAGAGAAGAGGGACAGGACTCACCCTCCACTCTGCTTCCACTCTCTGGCTTAAGTGGACCATACTGATTTAGAAAGAGGTCTAAACTAGGAGGGGTGGTTCAAAAAGTCCTCTGGCTGAAGGAAGGGAAATGAGAAGGACACAGAGAATGAGGAGGAAGGGAATGGGACAAAGGAGAAAAGAAAAGAAGAAAGAGAATGAGAATAAGATATAGGAGCAGAAGAGGACAAAGAGGGGAATGGGACAAAGGAGGAAGAGAATGAGATAAAGGAGAAGAGAAGAAGAGAAAGAGAATTGGACAAAATAGAAGAGGAAGAGAAGGAAGAGAATGGGACAAAGGAGAAGAAGAAAAGAAAGAGAAGAGAATGAGACAAAGGAGAAGAGGAGGACAAAGAGGAGAATGGGACAAAGAAGAAGAAGAGAAGGAAGAGAATGGGATGAAGGAGGAGAAAAAAGGAGAAAGAAGAGAAAGAGACAAAGGAGTAAAGGAGAGGAAGAGAATGAGATAAAGGAGAAGGAGAGGAAGAGAATTGGACAAAGAAGAAGAGGAGAAGAAGGAAGAGAAAGAAGAGAAAGACAAAGGAGCAGAGGAGGAGGAGAAGAATGAGACAAAGGAGAAGAGGAGGAGAAGGAGGAAGAGAATAAGACAAAGGAGAAGAGGAAGAGGAGGACAAAGAGGAGAATGAAACAAAGGAGAAGAAGAGGAGGAAGAGGAAGAGAAGAGAAAGAGAAGAGAAAGGAGAAGAGAAAGAAGAGAATGGAACAAAGGAGTAAAGGAGAGGAGGAGGAAGAGAATGAGATAATGGAGAAGAATAAGAGAAGACGAGGAAGAGAATTGGACAAAGGAGAAGAGGAGGAGCAGGAAAAAGAAGAGAATGGGACACAGGAGGAGGAAGAGAGGAGGAGGAAGAGAATGGGGCAAAGGAGGAAAAGAGGAGGAGGAGAAAGAGACAAAGGAGAAGAAGGGACGAGGAGGTGGAGAAAGAGGAAGAAAAGGAGAAGAAAAGGAGAAGAGAGGGTGAAGGAAAAGGAAAAAGGATGAGAAGGAGATGAAGGAGAAGACAAGCAGGAGGAAGTGGAATTACTACTACTACTACTACTACTACTACTACTACTACTACTACTACTACAGGTTTCACCCTCCACTCTGCTCTGCTTCCACCTTCTGGCTTACGGAGAATGCCTTGATTTAGAACAGGTGTAAACTAGGTATATTAGAATTTGAGGGATATCAATGAGGGCCAAAGGCTTTGTTCGGTTGCCACTTAGTGCCAGAAACGGAAGCAGTGTTGGTGCCAATGCAGAAAAGGCCCTGCTCCCATGCTGGCGCACAATATAATGAGATCACTGTTGTGGCACACAAAAGGGATTCCCCCCCAGCCAACCTCACTCGTCAGACAGATATCTTATTGCACATAAGACTCAGAGGTTTCTTGTCAGGTTCGTGCGACACACAATTTGTAAAGCAACCCAGGGTTTCACAGACCCATCCAGGAGAGGAACCCCAACTAAGAAGGGGATGATGGGCCTTCCAATGCATTCACTCACCTGTCGCCCGACCAACCCAGCGCCGCTGTGGCAGGTGCGCGTGTAGAAGCGCATGCAGGTCTGCTTGAGGCAGGGCTTGCATTCCTCCCAAAGGGCCAGCATGGTCTCGTTGCACACCTCCTTCTCGTTCAGCTGCTTCTCCGCATCCTTCGCCAGCAGCAATGCCTCCTACAAGGGCAGAGAAAGCAATACATCCCATTAGCCATTTCCCCCAAAAGCTGGGAGGGGGTGGTTGGCTTCTATGTCGAGGCAGTGAGTGCAACTCCACTCTGGGTTTTAGTCCGAACTTCAAACACCACTTGCCTACTTACGGTGACCCCATGCATTCTTTTCCTCAGAGTTTTCTTAAGAAAGAATCCCCAAATTTATAATATTATTGTAATAATGTTATAATATACATAATTTATATTAATATTAATATAGAAATTATTATTATTATTATTATTATTATTATTATTATTATTATTTATTACCCACCTTTCATTGTGGTTCAAAGTGAGATTAAAATAACATTATACTATATATTTTTTATGTTATAATAATACCACTATTATAATAAATGTAATAATAATTGTAATAATTATATACTATTATTATGATGTATTGTCGAAGGTTCCACTGCTGAACAGCTCTCACAGTCAGGAAGTTATAGAATCATAGAATCAAAGAGTTGGAAGAGACCTCCTGGGCCATCATCCAGTCCAACCCCATTCTGCCAAGAAGCAGGAATATTGCATTCAAATCACCCCTGACAGATGGCCATCCAGCCTCTGTTTAAAAGCTTCCAAAGAAGGAGCCTCCACCACACTCCGGGGCAGAGAGTTCCAATGCTGAACGGCTCTCAGTCAGGAAGTTCTTCCTCATGTTCTGATGGAATCTCTTTTCTTGTAGTATTGAGCCATGTTCTAGAGGCATTTCTCCTGACGTTTCGCCTGCATCTATGGCAAGCATCCTCAGAGGTAGTGAGGTCTGTTGGAAATAGGAAAATGGGTTTATAATTATCTGTGGAATGGCTGGGGTAGGGCAAGGAACTCTTCGCTGAAGCTAGGTGTGAATGTTTCAACTGACCCCCTTCATTAGCATTTGAAGGCCTGGCTGAGCCTGGGAAAATCTTTTGTTGAGAGGTGTTAAGATGTGCCTGGTTGTTTCCTCTCTGCTGTTTTGCTGTTGTAATTTTAGAGTTTTTTAATACTGGTAGCCAGATTTTGTTCATTTTCATGGTTTCCTCCTTTCTGTTGAAATTGTCCACATGCTTGTGGATTTCAATGGCTTCTCTGTGTAGTCTGACATGGTGGTTGTGGAGTGGTCCAGCATTTCTGTGTTCGCAAATAATCTGCTGTGTCCAGGCTGGTTCATCAGGTGCTCTGCTATGGCTGACTTCTCTGGTTGAAGTAGTCTGCAGTGCCTTTCATGTTCCTTGATTCATGTTTGGGCGCTGCATTTGGTGGCTACCAGTATTAAAAAAACTCTAAAATTACTACAGCAAAACAGCAGAGAGGAAACAACCAGGCACATCTTAACACCTCTCAACAGAACATTTTCCCAGGCTCAGCCAGGCCTTCAAATGCTAATGAAGGTGGTCAGTTGAAACATTCACACCTAGCTCCAGCAGAGAAGAGCTCTTTGCCCCACCCCAGCCATTCCACAGATATATAAACCCATTGTCCTAATTCCAACAGACCTCACTACCTCTGAGGATGCTTGCCATAGATGCAGGCGAAACGTCAGGAGAAATGCCTCAGTCTAGAACATGGCCCTATAGCCCGAAAAAACCCACAAGAACCTAGTAGTTTGAACTGTTGAATTAAACCAGCAAGAAGGATTGTCGAAGGCTTTCATGGCCAGAATCACTGGGTTGTTGTAGGTTTTTCGGGCTATATGGCCATGTTCTAGAAGCATTCTCTCCTGACGTTTCGCCTGCATCTATGTCAGACCTCTGAGGATGCTTGCCATAGATGCAGGGAAACGTCAGGAGAGAATGCCTCTAGAACATGGCCATACAGCTCGAAAAAACCTACAACAACCCAATAACAATATAACAATTATTATCCATTAATTATCCACCTTTTCTTGTGGTTCAAGGCGAGGTACAATGTTCAAATAATATTTATATTATAACACACACACACACACACAATATAACAATTATTATTTATGAATTACCCACCTTTTCTTGTGGTTCAAGGTGGGGTACATGGTTAAAATAATGTTTATATTATATAATATTATACACACACAAGCTTTAGAAAACCATGCATTTAAAGAAATGTATATATTGAGTACCATATTTACATATATGCATGTGTAGTGTAGAAACAAATATGTAAATATGCAAACTGTATATGTAAAGTCCCTTGGGGAGATGGTAGCGGGGTACAAAAAAAGTGTTAATGTATAATATACGTATGATATATGTGCTTGCATAAATCTCTTTATCTGCATAATATAGTAAATAATAGATATCTGTAGCTATCTATCTACATTTATGCTCTTTTGTGGATGTAAATATAGAGCCAAACACCTTCGCAGAAGCATATGAGAAGCTCGGCCTGTCATTGAACATTGAAAAAACCAAGGTGCTGTTCCAGCAGACACCAGCCATCCCCTCTCATTTCCGCTCCCTTGGCAGCCACCTCTCCACCAAAGTCAACATTGACACCGAAATACAACACCGCCTGAGCTGATAGGACTTTTGAATAATGTTCTACCAGGGGGGTTGTACACAACGGACATAGACCAGATTGATTACTTACATAATGACTCAATGCATGTTGATGCCATAGTCTCCTTTATCGACCCAAATATAGCCAAATTTGTCATAAGAGCTAGAGACCTATTTTCAAAACAAGGCATCAAGATAACAAGATTTTTTAAGAAGGTCTTCACTCAAAGAGTCCTAGATGGTACAGTGAGACTGGAGGAACAGCAACCAGCACTTAAAGTGGGAAATGAACAACTGCTGAAACCCCATAAGGTTCAAGCCATGAGGCTAACAAAAGAAGAAAAAAGTGCTGATGGGCTGGGGAACCTTGTTTGTGACGAGGAACAGTCACTGGTGGAGGCATATGCAAATTTGCCAAAAAAAGAGCAATGGGCTATCCTGGAGAGGTTGGAGGCACTAGGTAACTATCTAAGGGAAATATATACAGAAGGGCTCTGTTTGAATGAGGCAGGACACACTAATACAGTGGGATGGCAAGGAGCAGCTCAGAATGGTGGGAACTGGTTGGAGATGAGATTTTTGGACTCTGAGGAGAGATTTGAGCCTTCCATTAAACACCCCCCACTGACCCCGGAGGTGAAAGTTGTGAAACCCCAGATTGCTAATCCATGTGTTGTTTGTGATGGTCCATGGGAGGCCCTTGTAGGTATTGAAGCAGAGGACAAGGGACAAATTGCAAGAGAAGCATGAATGCCAAATACAGATTGTGGTTTGAAACAGCCCCCCATCACACAATCTTTTCAACAGGTGGTGCCTAGAAATAAAGAGAACATGGTAAAGGGGTGCTCTACTCAACCACTCAGAAATAGGGATATTCAGAGGCTTGGTTATCAAAGAAGGACAGGAGGGTTATTGAATCTGACAAGGAGACAGCATGATGGGCTGGTGGAGCCTGTGCAAGCTGAACCGCACCTAACTGAGGCTGATGAAGTAAAAAATGAAACACCTCCTACTCAGCCCTCTTTTTTGCAACCTCCACCAGCCCCAAAAGTGAAAATCTTGCAAACAAAATCATCTAACCTTAACTGTCTATCCTGGAACATAGCAGGGTGGCAGACCAGAAGTAAAGAGGAAGGGGTTGGTAAATTTTTGAGGAATTTTGATATTATTTCGCTACAAGAGACATGGAGCAAAGGACCTCTAGATTTTAATGGATACACTATAATTGACTCCCTGGCTAAAGTGGAAAAAGGTAGAGGGCGACCGAAAGCAGGCCTGGCCATTCTGCTGTCTACATCCCTTGGGGCTAAAGTTAAACCACTTGACAACTGCAGCCATATAGCTATGGCCTGTCACATAGAATATGGTCCTACACAGATACTCCTGGTTAATGTATATATTTCTCCCAGCCGCAAAAGGGCAGAGCTAATTCGTACTTGGGAGGAACTAGAAGATTATATAGTAATGTTAGAATCACACTTTCCAAAATCTGACCTAATTGTTACAGGAGATTTTAATGCTCGCCTAGGCCCAGATAATCCAAC